TTTCTCTGAAAGCAGAGAGGATACACACAATAAACGTCATAAAATAGGATATGCAATAATAAAAATAAACAGGATATACGCAATATGCAGACGGGCACGGGAATGCCCCTTCATCTGTTCTGACCTGATGGAGTATTATCTAGACAAGCCTTTCTTGACCTCTTTAGGATCCCTCAAAATATCTAGAACCAACTCACTGGGAAGGGGGGGGGGGGGTCAATGGCGAAAACAGCCCTTACATTGGTAGTCATTGGGAAGAATGTCCAACCCACCCCACCCCACCCAAAGTGGTGGTTACCCCCATTAAACAAGTTAACTTTATATAAAGATTTATACCCTGGTTAGAGAACTGCATTGAGATATCACTGTATCTTTTACTACCTTTCTTTTATTACGTTGCTTTGAGAGAACAGAAAGGATGCACACACTAAAATTCACAAAACAGAAATATATATATATGCGAACGGTCAAAGGTATCCCTTATTCTGTTGTGACCTGGCTTGGTATATTCTAGAGAAGCCTTTCTTAACCCTGTTTAGCAACCCTTAAAATGACCTAAGCCAATTTATTAGTGGGGTCAACGGCAAAAGTGGTCATTGGGGAAGTTGGATCCCATTAAAGTGGTCATTGGAGAAGTTGGATCCCATTAAACTGGTGGCCATTGGGGAAGTTGGAACCCATTAAAGTGGTCATTGGGAAGTTGGATCCCATTAAAGTGGTGGTCATTGGGGAAGTTGGATCCCATTAAACTGGTGGCCATTGGGGAAGTTGGAACCCATTAAAGTGGTCATTGGGAAGTTGGATCCCATTAAAGTGGTGGTCATTGGGGAAGTTGGATCCCATTAAAGTGGTCATTGGGAAGTTGGATCCCATTAAAGTGGTGGTCATTGGAGAAGTTGGATCCCATTAAACTGGTGGCCATTGGGGAAGTTGGAACCCATTAAAGTGGTCATTGGGAAGTTGGATCCCATTAAAGTGGCGCGGTCATTGGGGAAGTTGGATCCCATTAAAGTGGTGGTCATTGGGGAAGTTGGATCCCATTAAAGTGGTGGTGATTGGGGTAGTTGGATCCCAATAAAGTTGTGGTCATTGAGGAAGTTGGATCCCATTAAAGTGGACATTGGGGAAGTTGGATCCCATTGAAGTGGTGGTCATTGGGGAAGTTGGATCCCATTAAAGTTGTGGTCATTGGGGAAGTTGGATCCCATTAAAGTGGTGGTCATTGGGGAAGTTGGAACCCATTAAACTGGTGGTCATTGGGGAAGTTGGATCCCATTAAAGTTGTGGTCATTGGGGAAGTTGGATCCCATTAAAGTGGTGGTCATTGGGGAAGTTGGAACCCATTAAAGTGGTGGTCATTGGGGAAGTTGGATCCCATTAAAGTTGTGGTCATTGGGGAAGTTGGATCCCATTAAAGTTGTGGTCATTGGGGAAGTTGGATCCCAATAAAGTTGTGGTCATTGGGGAAGTTGGATTCCATTAAAGTGCTGGTCAGTCGGAAAGTTGGATCCCATTAAAGTGGTGGTCATTGGTGAAGTATGATCCCATTAAATTGGTGGTCATTTGGAAAGTAGGACCCCATTAAGGTTGTGGTCATTGGTGAAGTTGGACCCCATTAAAGTTATGGTCATTGGTGAAGTATGACCCCATTAAGGTGTTGTTCATCCCCATAAAACATGTTTACCTTTATACAATGATTTATACTCTGGTTGGGGAATCATATTGAGATGTCACTGTAACTTTTTCTATCTTACATTTGCGAGAGAGAGCAGAGAGGATACACACATTAAATTACAATAAATGATATATGTGAATGGGCAATCCCTTATTCTGTTTTTACCTGGTTTGGTACATTCTAGACAAGTAGTTCTGAACCTTTTTAGGAACCCCTAAATCTCCCAAAACCAATTTATTAGGGAGTTCAAAGGCAAAAATGGCCCTTATATTGGAGGTCATTGGGAAGTATGACCCCATTAAAGTAGTTGTTATTGACAGATTAAAGTGGTGGTCATCCCCATAAAACATGTTTAACTATATAAAATGATTTTTATATCCCGGTTAGAGAATTAGATTGAGATGTCACTGTATCTTTCTATATCTATTACCTTTGCTTCAAGAGAACTGAGAGGATACACACACTAAATTGCCAAAAATAGTTATATGTGAATGGGCTAAGCTATGTTCCTTTTTAATTTTTGACCTGATTAAGTATTATCTAGAATTTTTCTAACTTATCTATCTTTCTTAACCTTTTTAAACACTGAAAAAAGTTTCCAGTATCAGTGAATCCCTGCTGACAGTTACTATATCTACAACTCATGGTACATTAGTGTGATCGGCAGTGGGAAGAATGCCCCTTACATTGGGGGTCAGTGGGAAGAATGCCCCTTACATTGGGGGTCAGTGGGAAGAATGTCCCTTACATTGGTGGTCAGTGGGAAGAATGTCCCTTACATTGGGGGTCAGTGGGAAGAATGCCCCTTACATTGGGGGTCAGTGGGAAGAATGTCCCTTACATTGGGGGTCAGTGGGAAGAATGCCCCTTACATTGGGGGTCAGTGGGAAGAATGTCCCTTACATTGGTGGTCAGTGGGAAGAATGTCCCTTACATTGCAGATCAGTGGGAAGAATGTCCCTTACATTGGGGGTCAGTGGGAAGAATGTCCCTTACATTGGTGGTCAGTGGGAAGAATGTCCCTTACATTGGGGGTCAGTGGGAAGAATGTCCCTTACATTGGTGGTCAGTGGGAAGAATGTCTCTGACAATGGGGGGTCAGTGGGAAGAATGTCCCTTACATTGGTGGTCAGTGGGAAGTCCCTTAATGTCCCTTACATTGGTGGTCAGTGGGAAGAATGTCCCTTACATTGGTGGTCAGTGGGAAGAATGTCCCTTACATTGGGGGTCAGTGGGAAGAATGTCCCTTACATTGGGGTCAGTGGGAACAATGTCCCTTACATTGGGGATCAGTGGGAAGAATGTCCCTTACATTGGGGATCAGTGGGAAGAATGTCCCTTACATTGGGGGTCAGTGGGAAGAATGTCCCTTACATTGGGGTCAATGGGAAGAATGTCCCTTACATTGGTGGTCAGTGGGAAGAATGTCCCTTACATTGGGGGTCAGTGGGAAGAATGTCCCTTACATTGGAGGTCAGTGGGAAGAATGTCCCTTACATTGGGGGTCAGTGGGAAGAATGTCCCTTACATTGGGGGTCAGTGGGAAGAATATCCCTTACATTGGGGGTCAGTGGGAAGAATATCCCTTACATTGGGGGTCAGTGGGAAGAATGCCCCTTACATTGGAGGTCAGTGGGAAGAATGTCCCTTGCATTGGGGGTCAGTGGGAAGAATGTCCCTTACATTGGGGGTCAGTAGGAAGAATGTCCCTTACATTGGGAGTCAGTGGGAAGAATGTCCCTTACATTGGTGGTCAGTGGGAAGAATGTCCCTTACATTGGGGGTCAGTAGGAAGAATGTCCCTTACATTGGTGGTCAGTGGGAAGAATGTCCCTTACATTGGGGGTCAGTGGGAAGAACATCCCTTACATTGGGGGTCAGTGGGACGAATGTCCCTTACATTGGTGGTCAGTGGGAAGAACATGCCTTACATTGGGGTTAGTGGGAAACGTCCCTTACATTGGGGTTAGTGGGAAGAACGTCCCTTACATTAGCGGTCAGTGGGAAGAATGTCCCTTACATTGGGGGGTCAGTGGGAAGAATGTCCTTACAATGGGGGGTCAGTGGGATGAATGGCCCTTACATTGGTGGTCAGTGGGAAGAATGTCTCTTACAATGGGGGGTCAGTGGGAAGAATGTCCCGTACATTGGTGGTCAGTGGGAAGAATGTCCCTTACATTGGGGGTCAGTGGGAAGAATGTCCCTTACATTGGGGGTCAGTGGGAAGAATGTCCCTTACATTGGGGATCAGTGGGAAGAATGTCCCTTACATTGGGGGTCAGTGGGAAGAATGTCCCTTACATTGGGGGTCAGTGGGGAAGAATGTCCCTTACATTGGGGTCAGTGGGAAGAATGTCCCTTACATTGGTGGTCAGTGGGAAGAATGTCCCTTACATTGGGGGTCTGTGGGAAGAATGCCCCTTACATTGGAGGTCAGTGGGAAGAATGTCCCTTATATTGGGGGTCAGTGGGAAGAATGTCCCTTACATTGGGGGTCAGTGGGAAGAATATCCCTTACATTGGGGGTCAGTGGGAAGAATATCCCTTACATTGGGGGTCAGTGGGAAGAATATCCCTTACATTGGGGTCAGTGGGAAGAATATCCCTTACATTTGGGGGTCAGTGGGAAGAATGCCCCTTACATTGGAGGTCAGTGGGAAGAATGTCCCTTACATTGGGGGTCAGTGGGAAGAATGTCCCTTACATTGGGGGTCAGTGGGATGAATGTCCCTTACATTGGTGGTCAGTGGGAAGAATGTCTCTTACAATGGGGGGTCAGTGGGAAGAATGTCCGTACATTGGTGGTCAGTGGGAAGAATGTCCCTTACATTGGTGGTCAGTGGGAAGAATGTCCCTTACATTGGGGGTCAGTGGGAAGAATGTCCCTTACATTGGGGATCAGTGGGAAGAATGTCCCTTACATTGGGGGTCAGTGGGAAGAATGTCCCTTACATTGGGGGTCAGTGGGAAGAATGTCCCTTACATTGGGGGTCAGTGGGAAGAATATCCCTTACATTGTGGGGTCAGTGGGAAGAATGCTCCTTACATTGGTGGTCAGTGGGAAGAATGTCCCTTACATTGGGGGTCAGTGGGAAGAATGCCCCTTACATTGGAGGTCAGTGGGAAGAATGTCCCTTACATTGGGGGTCAGTGGGAAGAATGTCCCTTGCATTGGGGGTCAGTGGGAAGAATGTCCCTTACATTGGTGGTCAGTGGGAAGAATGTCTCTTACATTGGTGGTCAGTGGGAAGAATGTCTCTTACATTGGGGGTCAGTGGGAAGAATGTCCCTTACATTGGTGGTCAGTGGTCAGAATGTCCCTTACATTGGTGGTCAGTGGGAAGAATGTCCCTTACATTGGTGGTCAGTGGGAAGAATGTCCCTTACATTGGTGGTCAGTGGGAAGAATGTCCCTTACATTGGTGGTCATTGGGAAGAATGTCCCTTACATGGGTGGTTATTGGGAAGAATGTCCCTTACATTGGTGGTCAGTGGGAAGAATGTTCCTTACATTGGGGGTCGGTGGGAAGAATGTCCCTTACATTGGTGGTCAGTGGGAAGAATGTCCCTTACATTGGTGATCAGTGGGAAGAATGTCCCTTACATTGGGGGTCAGTGGGAAGAATGTCCCTTACATTGGGGGTCAGTGGGAAGAATGTCCCTTACATTGGAGGTCAGTGGGAAGAATGTCCCTTACATTGGTGGTCAGTGGGAAGAATATTCCTTGCATTGGGGGTCAGTGGGAAGAATGTCCCTTACATTGGTGGTCATTGGGAAGAATGTCCCTTACATTGGGGGTCAGTGGGGAAGAATCCCCCTTCCAGATACCTCCTAACCCTCTTGTATTGAATTGTATTGTTGCAGTACTGTCTCCCTTATACTGTAAATTGTTAGCGCAATATAAATCCTGTATAATAATGATAATAGCTAAAAAGATCATTTACTTCAATGGTTACTTATCTGAGATGTCAAAATCCGATCATTACTTAAGGAACCCCTGGCAACCCTCGGAATCCACAGAACCCTGAATGAGAAAGGCTGATCTAGAAATTTTCTTCAAAACTGAAACAATTGAGTACTGTCCGTGATACTTTTGTTATTTGCACTAATATACAATTTTCAAAACTGAAAAAAACCCAATAAAAAGCAGACCCGTCCCTAACTGTCATCACAGAATGTATAGTTAAATTGTAATAATTGAAGCCCAGACCATTTCTCCCACAAATACATGAATCTGGCTCACAATGCACATCTCTGAAGAATTACGAAGGGTGTAAAGTTACCTGGTGGCTGAGTAACTTGCTTGCTGCCAAACTGCACGGTGATGCACAGGTCGTTATCGATGGGGAACTTGTTACAATTCAGCATCTCCGGCCAAGGAAAACCGTAGGACTCCATAACCGGCGCACAGCTGTCACGCACCACCTCACACAGCGATCGGCACGGGTAAATGGGTCTCTCCAGACAAATCGGTGCGAAGAGCGAGCACAGGAAAAGTTGCGTGTCTCTGTGGCACCTCTTGGCTAGCAACGGTACCCAACTGCTGGCTTGCTGCTTCACCTCGGGCATGGTCTCGTGGTCGAGCAAATTGGGTAGCCTCATTTTCTTGTAGCCGACATTGTGGCAGAGGCTGAGATCTTGGGGAATGTCCACGCACTGGCTCTGTTTGGTGTAAAAGCGTCCGTTCTGGAAATTGTCCGACTGCCAGCTGTAGTAATCGTATTCTTCAGCCGAGCTCCAAAGAACGAACCCAACTAGTAAAGAGTTCATGCAAGCCACAATATTCCATTGGAAATGCATGACTGCACTGACGTTGGCTGTAGAACCTTCAATACTGCGCCAATGCCGGCTGTAGAACCTTCAGATACTGCACCGACGCCGGCTGTAGAACCTTCAGATACTGCACCGACGCCGGCTGTAGAACCTTCAGATACTGCGCCAACGCCGGCTGTAGAACCTTCAGATACTGCACCGACGCCGGCTGTAGAACCTTCAGATACTGCACCGACGCCGGCTGTAGAACCTTCAGATACTGCGCCAACACCGGCTGTAGAACCTTCAGATACTGCACCGACGCCGGCTGTACACCTGCAGATACTGCACCGACGCCGGCTGTAGAACCTGCAGATACTGCACCAATGCTGGCTCCAGAACCTTCAGATACTGCACCGACACCGGCTGTAGAACCTTCAGATACTGCACCGACGCCGGCTGTAGAACCTTCAGATACTGCGCCAACGCCGGCTGTAGAACCTTCAGATACTGCACCGACGCTGGCTCCAGAACCTTCAGATACTGCACCGACGCCGGCTCTGTAGAGCCTTCAGATACTGGACCGACGCCGGCTGTAGAACCTTCAGATACTTCACCGACGCCGGCTGTAGAGCCTTCAGATCCTGCACCGACGTCGGCTGTAGAACCTTCAGATACTGCACCGACGCCGGCTGTAGAACCTTCAGATACTGCACCGACGCCGGCTGTAGAACCTTCAGATACTGCACCGACGACGGCTGAAGAACCTTCAGATGATATTTATAAATAGGCTCAGGGGTGCTTCTACCTTTTTTTTTTTTGTTGAAATGAAGAAATGGGTCCAAAACGGTGAAATCTTGACCCTCCTTGTATGGGTTAAAGTACGACTCAAAAAACTATTTTTTTTCCTGGTTCCCCTGGTTGTGTCACTCTCCTTTTCACTCTCCCCAGGTCTTCTGCAGCTGCAAGTACAGACAGCTGGAGTTTGTATGCTGCACAAGAAGTGAATTAAAAGTCTGTGCTTGTTTGCTTCCAAACTCCTTACCCCGTCCAGGGAATCTTAGCACCACCCACCTCTAATCTTTTAAGTGAGCCCTGAAGGATTAGCCAGCAGCCTGTCTACAGTGGCCAAGCCTCCGCCTGCTGCTTGGACTGAGAAGCCGGATTCTGTGGATGTGACAATCCCCAAAGTTTTCCTTCTGTTCACTCAAGCAGTCTTGTGTAACAAAAGGCTTACATGTTCCAGTTACTTTCACCTCCAAGCGTGCTCCTCCATGCTTCTGCTAATGGGCTGCTGTGGATGGCACGCTGCGCAGAGCCGGCCCTATGTATACTGGGGGTAGGAATTCACATTCAAGGAGGGCCGGATGGTAATATGTTCTCCTGCCATGGCTCTGAATCTCAGGTTTGTGGAACGACTCAATCCTAGTATATATGTAGTCATTTTATGAAAAAAAAAAATAAGTCATCTGCAATTTCCATATCGTTTTAATAATATGTATTGTCAATTTTCAGTGTGCCCACTTACATCACATGACCTCCATCAGAGTGCCTTACATTGGGTGTCCCCATCATACTGCCCCCCTTCCATCATGTGTCCCCATCACACTGCCCCCTTTACATCAGGTGTCCCCATCATACTGGCCCCCTACACCAAGGGTCCCCATCAGTGTGCCTCCTTACATCAGGTGTCCCCATTACACTGGCCCCCTACACCAAGTGTTCCCATCACAATGACCCTTACATCAGGTGTTGCAATCACAGTTCTCCTTTTTACCAGGTGTCTCATCATAGTGCCCTTTTATATCAGGTGCCCCATTGAATTACCGTCTTTCATCAGGTGTTCCCAACGGAGTGCCCCCTTACATCAGGTGTCCCTATCAGAGTGCCCCCCTACATCAGACGTCCCCATCATACTGCTCCCTACATTAGGTGTACCCATCACACTGCCCCCTTACATCAGGTGTCACCATCATACTGCTCCCCTACACCAGGTGTCCCCATTTTACTGGCTCCCTACACCAAGTGTCCCCATCACAGTGCCCCTTACATCAGGTGTTCCAATCACAGTGCTCCTTTTTACCTCCTTTTATATCAGGTGCCCCATTGAAGTACCGCCTTACATCAGATGTTCCCATTGGAGTGCCCACTTACATCAGTTGTCCCTATCAGAGTGCCCCCTTACATCAGTTGTTCCCATCTGAGTGCCCCCTTACACCAGGTGTCCCCATCAGAGTGCCCCCTTATATCAGGTATCCCCATCGGTGTGCCCCCTTACAACAGGTGCCCTTTCAGAGTGCCCCCTTACATCAGTTGTTGCCATCTGAGTGCCCCCTTACATCAGGTGTCCCCTTCGGTGTGCCCCCTTACAACAGGTGCCCTATCAGAGTGCCCCCTTACATCAGTTGTTCCCATCTGAGTGCCCCCTTACATCAGGTGTCCCCATCGGTGTGCCCCCTTACAACAGGTGCCCTATCAGAGTGCCCCCTTACATCAAGTGTCCCCATCAGAGTGCCCCCTTATATATCAAGTGTCCCCATCATAGTGTCTCCAAACATCAGGTTCCCCCATCACAGTGCCTCCTTATAGTGTCCCCATCTGAGTACCTTCTCACATTAAGTGCCTCATTGGAGTCCATTGTCTGAAGGAATGATGCACCCAGTGAGATCATCTTCTGATATTCTTTGTAGCACAAAGATGGTGTTGAGCTCCTGAGGTGCTCTTGGGGATCTCCTGAGTACAATGCGTTGGGGTGGCCTCTGCTGGTTGGACAAAGTCAAAGTTTTTTTAATATGTAAACAAGTGGTATGGATATACTCTGTACATAGAAGATATTAGGGATCTTATGTCAGCATTGATATTGTTACATAATTTTATGGTGGAATATGGCTTCCATTTATCAATATCCTGAAGATGTGGCTCCGCACGATGCGTAGAGACTCCACAAATCCTGCCTCCATATGATCCAGCTGTGACAGAGACATAAAGGGTGACTATGCCTATATATGACCAATGTGCATAGATACCTGAGGAGCAGGATTCTTCCCACTGACCCCCAATGTAGGGGACATTCTTCCCACTGACCCCCAATGTAGGGGACATTCTTCCCACTGACCCCCAATGTAGGGGACATTCTTCCCACTGACCCCCAATGTAGGGGACATTCTTCCCACTGACCCCCAATGTAGGGGACATTCTTCCCACTGACCCCCCAATGTAAGGGACATTCTTCCCACTGACCACCAATGTAAGGGACATTCTTCCCACTGATCACCAATGTAAGAGACATTCTTCCCACTGACCACCAATGTTAGGGACATTCTTCCCACTGACCCCCAATGTAAGGGCCATTCTTCCCACTGACCCCCAATGTAAGGGACATTCTTCCCACTGACCCCCAATGTAAGGGACATTCTTCCCACTGACCCCCAATGTAAGGGACATTCTTCCCACTGACCCCCAATGTAAGGGACATTCTTCCCACTGATCACCAATGTAAGGGACATTCTTCCCACTGACCCCCAATGTAAGGGACATTCTTCCCACTGATCACCAATGTCAGGAGCATTCTTCTTCCAACTGACCACCAATGTAAGGGACATTCTTCCCACTGACCCCCAACGTAAGGGAGATTCTTCCCACTGGCCCCCAATGTAAGGAACATTCTTCCCACTGACCACCAATGTAAGGGACATTCTTCCCACTGACCCCCAATGTAAGGGACATTCTTCCCACTGATCACCAATGTAAGGGACATTCTTCCCACCGATCTCCAATGTAAGGGACATTCTTCCCACTGACCACCAATGTAAGGGACATTCTTCCCACTGACCCCCAATGTAAGGGACATTCTTCCCACTGACCCCCAATGTAAGAGACATTCTTCCCACTGACCCCCAATGTAAGGGACATTCTTCCCACTGACCCCCAATGTAAGGGACATTCTTCCCACTGACCCCCAATGTAAGGGACATTCTTCCCACTGACCCCCAATGTAAGGGACATTCTTCCCACTGACCCCCAATGTAAGGGACATTCTTCCCACTGATCACCAATGTAAGGGACATTCTTCCCTGACCCCCCAATGTAAGGGACATTCTTCCCACTGACCCCCAATGTAAGGGACATTCTTCCCACTGACCACCAATGTAAGGGACATTCTTCCCACTGACCACCAATGTAAGGGACATTCTTCCCACTGACCCCCAATGTAAGGGACATTCTTCCCACTGACCCCAATGTAAGGGACATTCTTCCCACTGACCATGTGCTTGTAATCAGTGAACTGTAGATACAGTAATTAGTAGTAGGGGTTCTGTGGGACCAGCAAGTTACCTGAAGGGTATCTCCATGTTGTAAGGGTTTAGAAGGACTGTTGTAGATAGTGGAGGAAGGATCAGGATGATGAGTCTGCAGCGCACATTCCATACAGTTATCAGTGTAGTTCCCCATGTACATGAAAGGACAGGTCCTCCTTCAGTCGGGTAATATTATGTTTATCGAGGTTGGCTAGGTGCGCAGTCTTCTAATCTTGAACTTTACTCTTTGGGAGTCATATTTCTCTTCCTGAAAATGTCACAGTTCTCTAAAATAAACACCTTCAGGTTTTCCTGCATCTCCTGCCATCATCCTGGAGGGAGCTCAAAGTTACGGGTGGACGTTTGTTTTCACTCGGATCGCAGCAGCTGTCTCCACTGTGCAATGATTAGCAGAATGAACTAAGTAACACAAATAGAACCCTCTGTAAAGGTTCTGCACATGGACAACCTGTGTGCTAGACATACTTCATAGCGGCGGCAGAATGGGGACCTTTGGCTTGAAGAGTAAACACAACCAGCTAGACCTTCTATTACCATGTAAAGTGTGCCATAATCCACAATGACTGGTGGCAGGGGCGTATCTACCACAAGGCAAACAAGGCACTTGCCTAGGGTGGCATTTTTCAGGGGCAGCACCTCCCCCCAGAAGAAGGGATGAAAGAAGGGACACGGGAACCAGGTGGGATCCGAGAGAGGCTG